AGGCGCATCGGCACCAGTCGAAGTATTCTCAATAATGAATATGGTATTATTGGAAGAGAGGTAGAAAGGCTGAATCAACAATGAAAGCTTTACTAATCTGCAAAATTAATAGCGAATTAAATTTCTGTTAATTTTTCGATGGTATTAAAAAAAAACAAAGAACTTTTAAAGAAAGTTTATACTAGGGATAAATACTAATAACTTCTTAACGATTAAGACACATTTAGTTTAATTATTAAACATTTCTTTTAATTCATTGTTTTGTTAGCACCTTCTTTATTTAGACTTTTCAGTCATAGGTACATATCCTAGTAGGTCGTATTTTTGTTTAAGGCCTTTTTTTAGTTGTGATTATAGCACAAAGACATCCTCGGGATATCCTGAGGAAATTGATCACGGGTTAACAGGACATTCTCAGGATATCCCGAAATATTCCTTAACTTCCTAAATACATGTTCCCGAGTGCTTAATGTCACATCAATATATCCTCAGGACAACCTAACAAGATCTCATAGACAGAATGTGGGATGTTATTAGGATCTGAAGTCCTACTTACTGTAACCTCTGACATCTCGGACTATCTCATTACCTCCCGGGTGTTAAATGTTACATACCACTATGTCCTCACGACATCCTATCTAGGTCCCCATTGACAGAATGCAGGGAGTTACCAGGACTTAAAATTCTACTTATGATATCCTCAGAGAACCTCGGAATATCCTTTTAACCTCTTAAGTACATCCTCTCGAGTGCTTAATGTCACACCACAGTATATCCCCGGGAATCCTCCTTAGAACAGACTGTACAAATGCGGGAATGCTGTGATGACCATAGACCTATTTATCCTTCATGGATACTCTCAGATTCTCTTCTTGTGGTTGTTTTATGAGACAGAAAGAAATGTTGAGAAAACTTACCAAACTTTCATTTTCTTAAATTTGAATTGCAGTTTATGCAATAATTTACATATATATTTAAAAGTGAACCAGGTAATTAAAACGAAGGATCAGAGTAAAATTTTGCTTTTATTTTTAAAATGTTAAATATTTTTATCTAAACATAATGTTGCTTAAATTTAAATTCCTGAATATATTAATAATTAAATTTTTGTAGAAAATTAGTTCCCAATTTTAGTTAATTCGTATTCACAACAAAACAGCCGTTTTAATCATTTAATAATCCTTACAGATTTAATCAATCACAAGATAGGAACGTTATACACTGAAGTGCCATTGAATTAGGGATAGCAAGTAATTAACGAGTTGGGCCTCTTCCGGTCTTGATAACGGCTGCCACACGACGAAGGCATAGATTCAACAAGTCGGCGGAAGCGTGCCACGAAAATGGCTTGCTAAACATCGGCTAGAGATGTCCATAATTTAGGAACGGTCACTACTGTTTTCTGATGTGCTTTCATACCTTTCCCTTTTCTTGCTCAACAGTAAGTAAGTGAGGGCTTCTAGGTGGCCAGCTCATGACGCAGAAGTCAGAGAAATGCTCATCCAGCCGGGCAGTAGCCAACCGGAACCTGCGAGAGGTGCAATTATCTTACTGGAATACTTCATTTCCGTGTGAATGACAGGAAAATATAAATGGCTACAGAGGATCGCCCCGCAAACTCTACGCTCCGAATCATATTGAGGGAGTTTGATACAAATACCAATGATCCCAAACACTGCCAAGACAAAACACCCAAGACTATGACTGAGCTGCCATGGCCTTGTACAGTTCCAACCTGGCCATGTAGGATCCATGGCTTCAAGAGCTTTATGCCATATTCTCAGCTTGCCATCTGCGTTACGTAGTCGAAATCGGACTTATCACCGCATGCTACTCGTTTCCAAGTTTCTAGAGTCCATTTTCTGCATTACTTTCCCAGTCAAGACGTGCTGCCCGATGGCGTGCATTGAGCAACTGCACTCTTGAAAGACCACTCTCTAACTCTTGAAAGGTTCCCGAAGCCTCATATGGTGAAACGATCGTTGTACGGTCCGTTTACTGACTATACGACTGGATTCAACTGGGAAGGTAATTTAAGCTAATGTTTGGCTTCGCTGGTTACATGGAATAAGGCTAAGCTGTCTCACACCACGCTTGTTCAATGTCCTTTGCAGTTTGTCCCATGACTGATTTTTTTCCTCCACCATCCGTGTATTCTCGTTACACTGTTCACAATATCAACCTTGAAAATCCTAACTCTCTGACGATTTCGGAAATAGAATGATGGCCCACGTGTCGAATATCTGCTATTTGTCTGAAGTCGTCTAAATTAAAAGTTTTACGCGTACTGACAATTGAAACGGCTGATTAACAACAAACACCACACCAGCTGAATTTTTTTCTTGGTTTTTGCATGTCATTTATTCCGACTGGAATATGTTAGGAATTACAAATATATTTTTTTATTTTATTTATTATCACCACTTGTTGCAGCTATCAGCGTGCAACTGGATTATTTTTTGAATTGTATTTTACTTTTTACTTATTCATTTCTATATATACATAAACATATATATTATATATTATATTATGTATAAATATCTAATAATTTATATGCGCTGTAGATAGATGTAGATGTGTAAAGAAGCAGAAAGTGGCAGTACTGTTCAATTTCAGTGCTCTTTTTTGCATTAGCTAACATTTGTGGCCACAAATACCTTGGCACACTCATCGTGTGTGTTCCTGAACATTTACATTTTTTTTTATCTTTGTGGCAAGAAGAGAGCAGCGCAACAGCAGTTTGGAAACGCCGAGTAAAGGAAAGTGCGCATTATATGTTTGAGACTAAATCTTAGTTTTATGCAGATTAGTTTCGATTTCCTTATTATTTGATTGGCTAATTAATAACGCTAGCAGTGGATGATTTAGTTTCAATTTACAAAACTATTTACTTCACTATCTTTATGGAAAATTCTTGATTGCTATTAATTTTGAAATGAAGCTTTTAGAGAGGTTGCTATGCGCAATTATTATTTTTACATCAAAAAAGGGAAATAGCCAAATTAAAATGAAAAGCTAAGGGACTATTTCAAATTCAAGTTAATATTTGATTTAAATTTATTTTATGTTGCATATACACGTACATACATACATACGCACACACACACATGTATATAATTTATTTACTAAAGAAATATTGATTATATTATCTCCTAATATAAATTTAGTAGAATGTATCAAAATGAGGTAACGAAGAAGTATGAAGTTCAATTCCGAAAATTTTTGAAAATTTTTTAAAGATACTTAAATTTATATCATGAAAAAAATTCCGAAAAAATTTTTAAAGGCACTTGAATTTAAATCATGAAAAATAGAAATTCAAGCTTTGAAAAAGAAAATTAATAAACCAAGCAATCATCGTCATAAATGTTTTTTCGGAATTTTTTTCATGATTTAAATTTAAGTCCCCTTAAAGAAATTTTCCCCATGATTTAAATTCAAATCCGTTAAATAATTTTCAGAATTAAATTTCATACTTTTTCTCTACCTGATTTTCATACATTTTACTAAATTTATATTAGGAGATAATATAATCAATATTTCTTTAATAAATAAATTATTATTATCTTACTTTGCAGCTATTGCGCAAGTATTAGAAATTTTTTTTTTTGATTTCATTGAATTTCAGTTCATTCAATATATATATATATATAACGTATGTATGTGTATATGTTACCTGCAGGAAGAAAAACTGATTTGAAAGCCGGTATTTTGTAGAATAATACCTAGGCATTTTATAGAATGCTGAAAACTGTAGGCAATGCGAAAAAGGGTTAACATTTCATGCACTTCTCAGACAAACCGGCACCGCTTGAAATACGCTTCCGATTCGTTTCGAATATCCACGCATTTAATGCATTCATACGTAATCCATACATTTTAAAATCATTCATCCATAATTGTATACATTTCACTCATTTTCATACATTATTTCATACATCGTTTAAAAGCATAAATTCTATTCCATAGAACTTTTACTTATCTTTAAGCATTTTGAGTGAAAGTTTTTAATGGTACACCTTTATTTTATTTTATTTTTTTTTTATTTATTTTTTTTTTTTTTTACAATATGAGATTAGGACTTTTGAACAACACAGGGCTTTTATATAACAACCTTATCATGGCGATTTTCCAAAGTTTGACTAAATTACGTTTGTCATTCTATAGAATGCCTAGCTATCATATACGATGCCTAGGGAAGATATATAATAATTGTCCTATTCCGTATGTTGCATAAAAGCGTCAGGCAGTTCCTGAATTGCCTAGGTTATTCTATAGAATTCCGATAACATATATACAAGATGTCAGTTTAGAATGTTAATGAATTTAAGAAAAGTCTAAAATGGTCTCTACTTGTTGAAAATACATATATTTCAGCGATATTACCTTCATACAAATGCACATTAGATGACTGTAAAATCAGTCTGATCACAATCATACGTAATTTTTTCTTCCGAATGCTGATGCTCGGTAAACCTCTCATGTAAGCCAAAACTTAAGTAATCCCACAGATTAATGTAAGCAGTTTCATCTATTCTTTGTTGACAACTACTCCATAGGTAACGTTTTCAGTACCCTGGACATTTGCAATTAATTTCTACGGATAAATTCCTGATGTATCATATAACTGCGCATGCTCCTATATGCTTCAGTACTATAATGATAAATGAATTTTTAGGCACCTCCTCCCATTAAGGAAGACAGACTGTAAGAGGTGGCGTTTCGTAAATGCTTGTGATAATGTTTTTAAAAATAGCCTTCCGATACCAAACGAGACGTGCAAGCCGGAGTAGTCATCGAATGATTCGACTGGCACAAGGTTGGAGTTCTGACACTGAACTTGGGAACGGATAATCCGACGGTTGAGATTGAGGCCACTTGAACACCCGCAACCGTCGAAGCGTAGTGGAAAGTGAGGCGGCCCCGGGCAACGTGTCTGCGAATCCCTGGAGGAAAGAAAAAAATAAACGGAGGAGCAGGGAGATGAACTCCGTCCCTCGGGCAAACGGTGACGTCCCAGCACCACGTGACTACCTCAGAGAAGGTGCGACACTTAAAAGGCACGATCCGAAACAATTCTTTCCCAAAAAACGCGCTCATTTTCCACGGTGAAGTTTATCGAAGCATAGCTCCGTTGGGGTGAGTACTGAGACAAAAGAATGTTTAAGCATGTCAGTTATGGCAGTCGTTTTGTTAGTTTTTCAGCGCAAGCTTTACCGATTTTTATACAGTGTATCCAACTTTTTAATAACAATAATTTTTTTGTTGCATCTGTTTTCTTTTGCGCCGGTACTGGTGGTTTTACAAACTTCTAAACTTCTGTTTTTGTTCATAATTCAGTAAGCTTTCTATTAATATCTTAGATAGAGGTTTTTTTCTTAAATAAGCATATTGTTTACTACTTTAAGTTTTATAGCTACTTTTTAAATAAGCCAAATCTTTTTTATGTAATATTAGAAACCTTTTAATACGTTTTTCATATATTTCTTGAGGTTTTATATCTTTTTAAATGAACTGTTTTTATTTATTAAATTTTTATGGAAATACTAAAACTTAACATTCTTCGGAAAGAATGTCGCAGAAAAATAATGTATAGAGCATCAAAAATTATGAAATAAAGATCCAAAATACTTTCTTTAATTTAAGTTAAATAGAATTTTCTGTTATTAAATTTTGGTTCCCAGAAAATGGATATCTATGGAACTATTTTAAATATAAATCTTAAGAATATAGACAAAACGACTGCATATTTTAATTCCTTACATAAAAAATTTATAATTTTTATTATTTTAATTCCTTGAATTCTTCACTTAGTGTTTAAATCACGTTTCTAACCGCTGTCATAAATAATGACAGCGGTTAGAAAATATTTAATTATTTATGAACGTCTACTCTATTAATTAATAAAGCTATTTATTTTGTAAAATATTAAATGTGACACTATTGATCATGTTCTAAAACATTGGTAATGAAATTCTCCTTTTTCTGCTCGAAACTCGAGTCGCTCTACTTTCTTTTGATAAAATATTCTTTTAACAGCCTATTTTTTGTTCTAATCAATTTTGTTATTTGTAAACATTCAGCTTGAAAACCACCTGAAGTCAGCTTGAGTTATAGCTTACTAAAATATCTGTCCTTTGTAACATATAAATAATTTATGTTTTTTATTGAGATTATTTGAAAAACGATTTCGCATATTAATATGTTTTTAATATATATATATCATGAGATAAAAGATTTTCTTTCATATCCGGTTATGATTGCTTTTAACATACGTGAATTACTCTTACATGCAAATCAATCAGCGATTAATTAATGAGAGTGGTGTTTAAAACAAATATTTCTCTTTTAAAATAACCATCACTAAATCTTATCTTGTAAATTCAGCATAACGTTAAAAAATAAGTTGATTTGTTGTCTTATATTCTGATTAGTACATCAATTAAATTTAAGCAAACGTAATCAAAATTATTTGAAATTTCTACTAAACCCTTTTGTCAAAGTATCGGATTCGCAATAAAATTGTATAATTTACTTTATTAATAAATACACTGTAATTTAATGAAAATATAAGTTATTATTATTGTCGTTAAAGAAAACATTTAAGCAGTTTTTTGAAAAATATTTTCTGTGATAAAATTATAGCTTTATGTGTTTTTAAATTTTACGACAAGATAGACTGAAAATCGTAGTGTTTTGCTGTTGAAAGTGACTCTACCGAAGATGTTGGAACTTACTGCAGTATATTCAAATAGAACTTTCTTAATTAAGAAATCTGCTTTAATTTCGAAAAGAAGTAACATGCTGCATAAATATAATATATGATCTCATCCTAAAAACACTCATTACATTTTTGAGATTCTGTTGGGATTAGAAATGATACTTTTCGGATGTCAAAATCAAACTTTTGAACGAAAATTGAACTGAAACTTAAGGTTTCATTTCAGTAGAATTCTGAAATCTTTTAATTATAATGAATAACATTTTACGTTTCATATTTCAGCTAAAAAATTAGACATATGCATTAGGAGCTTGTTTATCATTCCTCCAAGTTCAATGGTATGCAAAACGTAATTTACCAATAATTTCCAGCTAGTATTGTAGGTAAATAACAGAAAGGTTTTTGGCCCCGAATCACTGTTAGTCTCGAAACGTGATTTTGCGTTGTATGACTTTTCATTTGATTTTGTTCTTCAGAAAAATTTAAGATATTTTTCTTTCAGATTTAATCTGCCTGTTATTTATGAATAAACTAAGTTATTTAAAAGCAATATATACAGTTTTTAATAACGGTACTTTTTTATTTTTGAATCTGATTAATTTAAATAATAAGGCATTTAGGTGATGATATAGCTAATAAAAATATTAAATATTTTTATGGAATTACGTTAAATATTTTTTCACTTTTTAAATACGCAAAAGATAGATAACATTTTCAAATTAATCTAAATACATATTCTTTTAGTATCTTATAAAATGCTTCGCTATTCCACCGGGACCATTTCCATTGATAATCACTGCCCAATGTGGATAAAAGATATTAATTTTTAAAAGCACCGTTTTGGGCGAACATTGAAATTTGAACCTTTTGATCATTTTCTGTAGATAGATTGTGAAAAACCACAAAAACTGGTAATAACGGAAATGATTAAATGCAATTTTTCGTTCCTTAATTATTCGTTCCTTAATAATTAATATAATTAGTCCAAAGGGACTTGAGTCCCGAAGGACTATTGCTTTCGTTTTGGCATTTTGCGTCGGACGGATAAATGTCGGTTCACTTTTCAAAACTGTTGCCCAAAAATGTTAGAGTCCTGCATTATATTTGAAGAAATTCAAAATGAAAATCTGCGTAAATGTATGTATATTTAATTGTCATAAAAATAACGGTATAGAGTCATCGAATTTTGAATAACGTAATCCTCCAACAAATGAGCATGGGAAGACCAAATTGAAATTTGGAATTTGTTTTATGATCGATTTCTATTTTTTAAAACTTTGACATTTTGATACAAACTCAAGGATTTCAAAGCGAGCAATGGCAACGTTGTGCGAAAAAACATTTATATCTCCAGCGCGTGAGTCTCTGTATCGGAAATTCTAAAGATATGCTCGTTTTAAAACTATTTGCGATATGCTGTTGCCCTGGATCTATGGTTTAAGTGCGAAGAACATGATATTTAATAAAGAAAGGTAACACACAAAATGTTAAAAAACGCCCCTTTGACGTAATTTAAATCTGAAACATTTCGATTTTTTTTAGGTATATTTTTAATAATAATAATAATAATAAAAGACGAATTCAAAAATATTAAAAAAATGGTGACTGTTGAAAGAAAATGAAAATGAATGGTGTTAACTTCACGCTTGGTCACGGAGTTGTCTAGAAGATGAAGCGATGGTGAAACGAAAAGCATATAATGTTAAAATATTTTATAAAAGGGAAAGAATACACTTGATATACTGTTTCATATTTTTTATAATTTGGCTTTTCCAGTTTTATTTATATCAAATCAGTTTCATTCCTGTGGCATTTTATTTCATTTGAGCTTTTAATTTATACCAATAGCATATCATTTTAAACGTTATTGTATCAGGAATGTTCTTTCCTTTTTATAGAAAATGTATTAATTTATAAGTACTTAAGGTACTACATAATATTAAAGCAAATATAGAACACATGTAGAGAGTAACATAAGAAGACGCACAGAATGAATTTATTTTAGCATTTAAAAATAATATTTGCTGGAAAATTTTTCAGGTGTTATTAGCACATTAAAATAACTTCCAAATCATTTGTATTTCATAAATGATGATACAAACTGTTAAAGTGTTACGAATTGTTTTGTAAGTAACATTGCCTGCACACTGATTTGATTAATTAATTTAATTGATTAATTTATTTAGTTTTTTAGTTAATTTAGAATTAGCATTTTATGCGCTTTTCGTATTTTGCATCTTTATTTTAAATACTGCATTAATATTAACTCAGTGTGCAGGCAATGTTACTGACAAAACAATTCGTAATATTTTAATAGTTTGTATCATCATTTATAAAATACAAATGATTTGAAAGTTATTTTAATGCTAATTTAGAAGTCAAACAACAAAAATTAGCGTTATATTTTCAAATTTGTCTACAAACCAGACTTCCCGAATTTCATTTCTCTTGCATTGAAATTAATGAGCTAATTTCTCTCACTCAACTCTGTTTGAAACAAACGCATTTTGTTTTCCAAAATAAATATTACAAGCAAACTGAGGGATTAGCCCTGGGAAGCCCCCTCAGTCCCATCCTGCCTGATATCTACATGCATTATTATGAATCAAAATTGTTTGATACTTTAAATTTCCCGGTATGGTTCCGCTACGTAGACGATACTTTTACCCTATTTGAAGGTAACAATGATGGTTTAAATAAAGTTCTTTCAATAATGAATTCCATTGACCCTGCTATTCAGTTCACTTTTGAACTTGAAACTTGCAATTCTCTTCCGTTTCTCGACATTCTGGTCACACGTAAACACATCCAACTTCAGTACTACTGTTTACCGTAAACCTTCATCGGTTTGCCTTTCACACCACTCTTAAATCATGTCATCCGACTAAACAAAAGTTAGCTTCATTTTTTCCTATGTTTTCCGTGCTCTTCAAGTTTGCTCCTCCAAACTAGCCCTTGATGAAGAACTAAATTATTTAAAAGCAATAGCTATTGACAGGGGCATTTCACCCAACATTATTAATCAAGCAGTTAAAGAATTCTCATCTCAACACATCAGCAGGCACACTCTTATTTTAGGAGATTATAAAAATCCTGTAGTCATTCCCTTCTTTCCATCAATTAGCTATAAGATTGCACGCATTTTGCATAAATTTAACTTTCGTTTATTCTCCTATCAATAAAATTCCGAGTTCCATACTCAAGGACCCCATTCCGGATATGAATTCCTGGGGTATTTACAGGATTCCTTGCCAGTGTGGCTTAATTTACATTGGCCAAACTAAGAGAGCCTTAAAATTTCGCGTTAAGGAACATGAGGCATATGTTAGAAAAAAGGAAACACAGAAGTCTTCTGTTGCCCAACATTGTTGGTCCGAAAATCACACTTTCAATTCTTCTGCTGCCAAAATTATTCAAA